ATAAAACCCTATATGGGTGACACCTTCTTGGGATGCCAGTCCAGATTTGAAGAGGTCATTATGCGACGATACAAGATTATACTCACGAGTATTTGTTAAAAGGCGAAGATGTCTTGTGATGAAAGCATCACGGTCAAACATGTCCTGCTTGACTGTATTGATTCGTCCTTCACAAGGGAAATATATGTCGATGTAAAAACATTGAAGCATACTTTTAATAAGGTTAATTGCCATTTTATTAGTGATTTTATTTAAAGAAATAGAGTTAATTGAAACAAATGTGATTGATATGTTTTGCAGACAGATGTATTTTTTATGATTGGTAGTATAGATTAGTAACTGCGATTGTTAGACGCGGTATCCTCAAGGGGGGTTAATGTATTGTAAAAATATTATCCTCCTGAGAGGATACGTAAGTTCCAAAACCTTCAAAGTAAATTTATGCCTACCACGTTTTTAATAGTCGTGAAAGTAAGTAATTAAGTAATGGCTAAACCTCAGTACGATTCCCAACAGGTGAAGGGAGATGTAAATCCAGCTAGGGTCCATGCAGGTAGCAAAGGTATTGTAAGTCGCCATGGTCTCTAGTAGGATGATATACCTTCAGTTGTTGGTGACCTATAGCATGGTTTTATATTGTATTGTCCTAAATAGTGTTCTAATTGTATATATACTAGCTACTTTTAATTCTACCTGTGATATTCAAGTTATTCTTAGCGGACAGATTTTATAACGAAACTTATTACTTACCAATGAATAACTTGTTTTAGTCACGATATGGCTGAAATATTGCCGATGTGACTAAAACTCTTGACTCACTCACTCATTCACTCGTCCAATACACGAGCAATTCTTGTTCAGCTTTCTTTATATATCCATCTATAGCACCAACAGAATAGAAATGTAACGAATGCGTATTGCAAAACTGTTGGTAAACCCATTTCAGATAAATCCGGTGATGTTTGGAGCGGAATAAATGCACCCATTTGTTTTGTAATAATTGTCGAAAATATAATTTTTCATACGCAGAACTAACTTGACTCTGAATGCTAACAAGTCCCATCAGCATGAATAAGACCAATACTGGTCAAAGGAGAAAATTTTGGCTTATTTCATACGCTGAACTTCGAGTCATGTAACTGTAGTTCTTTGGGCATCATTGTATCTCATTGAACATCATCGCGTTTCATTGTATTTCAATGGACATCACTGTATATCGGATCACCATGTGACGCACGATTGTCCGATCCCTTAGATCGAAGTTCATATACGCGCATAGCGAAATGCTTTGTAATGGGCAACGAAATACATGTGTACATGTATGTACAACGTCCCTTTTGGACAACGCGACCTGTAACATTCCTGTAGAAGTAGTAGGAATACATGCAACCTCGCCCAAACAGTTTGGTCAGTAACCCTGGATTGTATTCTTCAAGTAGTAGTACGCAAATTGGCCCATACTTTTGCAGCGTTTGGTCACTAACCCGTGAATATGAATGTATTCTTCACAACATATAGGTAGTTTCACACTGGTAGAACACCCAGGTAATAAACAAGCGTGAGCAGTGAAATTTCAATTTCACACGTACACCTCGCACACCTGGCTGTTCAAGTGGTCCTCCCTCGTAAGAAATAACGAAAAGTGACAACAAAATAATGATCGTTTGTTAAACAACTTTTTTATTCGGGTGTCCAAAATTATGAGTCAAATCATCAGAGGTGGTCTGCCGATTTCATGTGTCAATTTTGATTTTGTTGCACTTATTAGATTTTTTGTTAGTGACCAATTCATCGGTCTCAAATGAAGTCAAACGGACTATAAACGCCAAAAGAAACGTTACCCTCCTTCCTTAATGACGGAGGTACCTATCTACAGCTGACGTTGTGATGCGTGGAAGTCCATTTCTTGGTCTGTCTGCGGTAACCCTAGTCTGTCTGAAGCCCTGAATAAGTCTAATAACCTTGACACGGTGGCATCCGAGGGCGTTGGCAACAGCAGTGTATGTCGACCCCATCTGCACCACCCCAATAGCTCTTTCACTCTCTTCAGCTGTTAATCGTGGCATATTTCTCATACTTGTGTATCATATCATGCATTCTAGTCCCTCTTTATACCCGATAGAATCATTCTACATATGAAATGGATGCAAATACTGATTGAATATCGCTACGCTTTGGCGATTGATATTGCTATGTGTAAACAGAAAATGGAAAAATGTTACTTTGCAAGTAAAACTATATACAATGATAATTTTATATGTTCCTAAACATTTTTGCACAATATCATAGACACATTTTACTTGTTTTCACCAATGCAAATTAGCAGAAAATGTTTTAAAAGACTGAAGTCATAGGACTGATTATTTTACAATTTTACACACTCTACAACGGTTGTTTCTTGTTTTAATAGTTGAAAAATGGTGACTTTAAATGGTTTATCTTTGTCTCATAGCAGAATTTTATTTCAACCTTTCTTTTTGGCCATCTAAATAACGGTTTTTGGTTTATTTCGGCATGGATGAAAATAGGACAATTTAACTTTTCTGAAAAAGATGTATTTCACCTAAATATGAATGCATTTGAGATTATTTTTCGTGATTTGCATAAAGCTGTGTTGTTAATTATAAGCTTTCTTCTAAACTAATACGGTCAAAAATATCTCTGATAGTTTTGAAGTAATTCATAAAGGTAGGAGGGTAACGTGTCTTTTGGCGCTTAGTGTATATGCATGCTTTCCTTGTAACCTTGTGACAATTGAATCACGTAACATCGTTATGAATGATCTATAGCATGGGGTAGCATCATGCTTGTAGCAGCACATAGCAATCATCCTGAAACATAACACATGCAAGAATCAATATTAGTGTGGCCATCTTCAACACGATATCCGCAGAACTAATTATAACAATTTGTCTGAAACAACTTTTTCGTTTCTTATTAAACGACTTCAGTATCATGTAATCATAGATCTCCTTCGAGGAATTTGTATTGGCGTTCCCCTGTAGCCTCATGTACAGTGCAGTTCTCCGAGTGAAGCCTGTTGTATTTCTTTTCACTACGCGATCGAATTCATTTTGGTATTCAAAGTATCCCTGTAAATCCAAGGTGACATGTTATGCCTGTTCGTGGTTAAAGGCACTATTTCACACCAGACTTCTCTAAAAATAAATAATTCATTTCTCTCACTAATACTATCAGCCCTCGGGGAAGCTACCATATAATCTATTTGAAAAAAAATGCGTATGTAGATTACAATATTAAATAAAAAATTCGATTGAATTTATGCAACGTTGCATTTTTTCAAGGGAACCACATAGAGTTATGTCCCTTGGAGCGCTCTTTACGAATATCTTATAACTCAACATGTGATTGACAGCAATTCCTCAAACACCAACACCGCGTGCGACAGTTTTCGATGTACGGTGTAATTGTTTACATTCCATATATGGCATGTGTTCTCTGTTTACAAGCTGTTCGCCTCGAAGTTTCAATTATCGATTTCAAGCAAGTCGTAAGGGATAATCCGTCTTTTGTTGCATCAATAGGAAGCTTAAGTGAGTGCATATGCCCCCAACTTTGTGTGCAGACTCTCTCAGTGTTGTCACAACCCCTAGTGTACAGTACACAACCCTGTGCACTTAAAAGAACCTACGAATCCGTTGGTAAATGACAAGATAGTGGCCACATGAATACGTGCAAACGCCCAGTAGCGGGTACCTCAACATTCAGTAAACTTGGACAAAGTACTGCGACTATGTGGCCCAGGCCACCCAACTGTGAATGGGTTCCTCGTAAGGATGGGAAAGCCGTAATAACTCAGTGCGCCTTGTGGCTGCAAGAGTTGTACAATCCCCAGGGAGATTGGTAATACGATGCGCAGTTGAGATTGACATCCGAGGAAAACAAAGCGCCTTTGAGCAGATGAGCTGGATATTGGCGCTACACATATATAAGAACGTATGTATGTATCTGCCCTCACTGGAACTGTTGAATCATTTTGAATAGCCAAATTATAATATTGAAAATTCACGACAGCCGCTTGACGTATCAAGAAATCTAAGCCTAAAATGATGGGCGATTAAAAAAATGCAACAACGAAAACATCGTTTTATTTGAAAATTAGTTATGGGAAGTACAACTTGTCCTATTACTGGCAATATATTTTGACTTATCCCTTGAATAGATGACACATCTGACTTTTGAATAGGGATTTCTTTCCATAGGCCTGATTCATTGGAAACGTCCAGGCTTAAAACACTAGAACCAACGCCAGAATCGACGATTGAGGGAACCAACTTTTCTCCCCAAACAACATGAATTCTAAGGCTGTTATCGTTTTCAAATGTAGTTTACAAAACTTTAGATTTTAGGCTGGTTGTGAGTGAATGAGCCACACTCGGCAATATTCCACCTATATGGCGGCGGTCTGTAAATAATCGAATCTGGACCAGACAATCCAGTGATCAACAGCATGAGCATCGATCTACGCAAGTGGCATACGCTGAGTTCTGTCAACCCAGTCAGCGAGCCTGACCACCCGATCCCGTTAGTCGCCTCTTACGACAAGCATGGGTTGCTGAAGATCAATATTCTAACCCGGACCTTCACTGGTCTGTTTGCTAAAAGTCGGGAAGTGGGTGGAAAGGAGGAAGGGAGGGTTCCTGAAGATTACTACTTTGATACTGAAACGCCACAGAACGAAATCTGGATGAATCAGGGTTCGAACCATCGATCTTAGCCTAGTGGTTAAAGCGGAGGGGTAGCCTAGTGGTTAAAGCGTTCGCTCGTCACGCCGAAGACCCGGGTTCGATTCCCCACATGGGTACAATGTGTGAAGCCAATTTCTGGTGTCCCCACCGTGATATTGCCGGAATATTGCTAAAAGCGGCGTTAAACTAAACTCATTTACTCCTTCGTAGAAAGAGGAAGAACGGTTAAACCAACCATACGTTCTGTGACATCTCACTGAAAGGCATAACGCATTAAGCTATATTGTTTATTGCTGCAGAGATAAAGGTCCAGGTAGTATAAAGTATGTATATAGATATATATGTATAGAAAATAATGCTGCATCAGTAATACTGACAGTGTCCACTCAAACTGGACATTTGACCTTCGGCCCTTCGTCGTCATGACGGGACAGTGATGCTAATGAGTTCGGTGTCAATACCATCTCACAAATGACCATCTGGACTGGGACAAATCACAATATCACGCCACATGTGGTTAAACTGACCACTCTCTTTTACTACGTTTACTACGAGTTGGAATATATATTGGATGTAATTTCAAAGCGGTCATTTGTAGTACACCTATTCTTCCAAGTCTGCAGACGTCGGCCTGCACATATTCACCCACGTTCGTGCACGTGACCCCAGGCCGCAAGCACACGGTTGACGGCCCTACTGCCGCCAGCTGGTAACCCGTCACACCATCCTAAGGGCTCGCTAACAGAACTCCGTCACAGCGCCACAACGCAGCGGCGCCACGGGTTCAACAACTAAAACACGGTGTAAGAAGTTCTTTGAGGGAGGAAGGATCTGTACTGTATCTGTCGGCGACGTAGTTCTTCCTTTAGTGCCATGTACTCCTCCACAGTGTACTGCTTCTTCGGTTTCTGAAACAAAACCACTCTTTAATACTTTGATGGTGACTGTTTAACGCCGTATGCGGCAACATTTATGCGTTTTGTAAATACACGAGACCAGCCAGGCCATGCACTGTAGTGATTTAGAATGTTCATCGCGAGCTGAATGCGATAACACGACATGAAACACGTGACCAGGTCTGACCACACACAGACCATCCGACATTGGTTGCTTTGACATCCACAGGTACACCTGTACCAGATTATTCTGATTGAATTTCTTTGTTAGTTGTTTAACGCCGCACTCAGCAATATTCCAGCTATATGGCGGTGGTCTATAAATAATCGAATCTGGACCAGGAAAATTTAGTAATCAGCATGAGCATCGATCTATACAACTGGGATACGACGACCAAGTCAGCGAGCCTGACCACCCTATCCCGTAAGTATTCTAATTGAAAGAGCGTAGACTATTGCGACAATTCACCCACATTTGTTTCATTCTCTTGAAGAGAGTGTGATGATGATTTTACGGATTTAAGCAGTATTCCTAAAATATCATGTCTTGGACACTAGACATTAATTAGCTTCACTTATTATTATTATTCTATTAGAGGAATTGAACCCAGGTCTTCGGCATCACCAGCGAACGCTTTCACCACTATGCCACCCTTGTCCGTAATCAAAACCGGGTCTTCAGCGTGACGAGCGAACCACTCTAACCACTAAGCTATAAGGCTCCTGTCTACTAATGTCTCAAAATTGCCAGCAATCGTGTACCAACAATTGAACAGGTCACGCAAGTTGCAACTTAAGACCCAATTATTCAAAGTAAAAACACTCGATTTATCGAGATGTTCCTGCACACGAGAGAAATATTCCATCTTCTAAGTATCCTTGCAGGCAACAACTTTAACTGCCACCTTTTCAGCTGATGTGGAGCACAGTTTGACAGACAGATTGTTCTTCATCGTGTGCACGTATAAAAAAAGGATTTATCAAAATAACACTACGTTGAAATGCTGCTTCAAATTTTGATTCTTGTTGTTTTTTGTGAACAATTAAATTACAGGAAAATATCATAAACATGCTCTGATTATATCTTATTATTTTTTGTCAGATAAATTGCACTAAAACAGCATTAAATTCGTGATGAAAAGGATGGTCGACGTCATGTCAATGTTATTTTATCACGCCTTCGCTCCACATGCATGTCAGCGTCTACTTGAGGATTTTGCGTGATATAGGTGTCCCACGGACTTTCGTTTTGCTTTTCGAAAAATATAAATACCCTTTGGCAACATTTACATAATTCGTTGTAGATAATGCTTAAAACTGCGGTGGTGATGACTTGGCAATCGAAATATAGCACAGACAAATTCATTTTATCTTTCAGCATCACAAGGGGCGGTAGGGTAGCCTAGTGTACTTTACTAAGAAAGTGTAATCCCAAATATAACATATGTTACGTAGAGCACGGTTTTTTTAATCACTTTCACATAGTGGTGGCACCAGTCATAAACACACGCAAAGGCTGGTAATTCGGTCACTTGAACAAACTCGATAACGTATGGTACATGTCAAAACAAGAATTGCATCAGACATCATTATTTTTCTTGAATATATTGCACTGCGGAAAACACAAGCATTTGTGAACCAGAAATTACTAATTATTTTTCTTGCCTTTCAATTTCCAGGATTGTAAAAGTTTAAGCTGATCCTGTGACCTTTTGATAATCCACATAGTTTTAATGCAAATTGTCTCAAATACTTTCTGTGAATATAACGTAAGTAGTCTCGGAAGAGCTTTAGAAGCCAGAAGAAAAAAGGCGAAGATAGGTCTTCAGCTTTCAGAGCCATGTCAACTTTTGGTAGTACTGATGTATGGTGTTCGTACATGTCTTCCTCAGTTGACAAGGGCGTTGGGTAGCCTAGTGGTTAAAGCGTTCACCCGTCACGCCAATTCCCGACATGGGTACAAAGTGTGAAGTCCAATTCTGGTGTCCCCCGCAGTGATATTGCTGGAATATTGCTAAAAGCGGCGTAAAACTAAATTCACACCCGATTCCTAACATGGGTACAATGTGTGAAGCCCATTTCTGGTGTCCACCGCCGGGCCCGCCGTGATATTGCTAAAAGCAACCGTGACTTGACATATAGGCCTTATGCCAGTGGCATTAATTATTTTGTCAGTTACACGCAGTTCTTTCGTCAGTGCACGGTACCAGTTGGATATTTAATTTATGGTTCATGGACATCGGTGAGTGGCACGTAACACCATGTAAGCCCACGTTACACCAGATAAACCCACGTAACACCAGATAAACCCACGTAACACCAGATAAACCCACGTAACACCCACATAAGAAAGAAATGTGATTCAGACTGTGAATCATGTCTGAAAAAGTACGTGTCAATATTGAATAGAGCTGCATGTGAAACCAGTGAGTTTTGTTTTACACCGCTTTTAGCAAAATTCCTGCAATATCACGGCGGGGGACACCAGAAATGTGCTTCACATGTTGTGCCTGTGTGGGGAATTGAACCTGGGTCCTCGACGTGACGAGCAAACGCTTTAACCACTAGGCTACCCTACCATCCCCGCATAAAAGACCGGGTTCCATCATTCCTGAAATGGGTCAAGCCTCAGAGTGGAGGACATGTGAGTTCTGGCATATCAGCAGAAATCCAGGAACCAGATGTAAATGAGATTATGTCCAGCTATAATTATGATAGTTGGATAACAATGTATGGATGACTGATCAGATTCTCTCATGATCTTTAACATGTCTTTATACAATTATCTCTTTTCGCGAGTGTTATATAAACAAGAAAATAACGACATGAACATGAGTGGCTGAAATATTACCTTGAGTGCATTGTGAAGCAAACAGTTCTTTTGTTACCTTAAGAACAAGACTTTACGATAGAGTCATGGTCATCACGATAGCTTATAGACATCGTAATTCGGGTTTCCAAAGGATTGAGTGGGCATATGATAATCATCTTGTTACTACTCGATAGGTTAGTGGGTCGCAGTGACGAAAAACGTGACTGTTTTAAGAAAACATGGCATCTAAAAAGTCGGTTTTATTGGAAACATATTTTTTTTCGCACGCTGTCTGTGAATTTGAATAAATGGACAACATCGCCGTCAATAGGATAATGTCGAAAGTTGTTACACTTGAAATGTCAACATTTTGGAATGATGAGGTTAAACTATGGATTAAACGATCGAATACTCAGGTACATACCAAACAGTTGGGGTACAATACTTGGGATATAACATATACTCGTATGTAGAAATACTCGGGTATAGGATATGCTCGGGTATATCCTTTTGGGAAATATCGGGGTATTCGCTTTGAACGAAATGGCTAGTTTCATTTAATGTAGGATGAGATGACTGATTAAGGTTTTACGCCGCTTTTAGCAATACTCCAGCAATATCACGGCGGGGGACACCAGAAATGGGCTTCACACATTGTACCCACGTAGGGAATCGAACCCGCTTCTTCGGCGTGACGAGTGAACGCTCTCACCACTAGGATACCCAACCATCATCGATGAGATGAACAATGTGCTCATCAAGGAAAAAGGAATTCCCCACATGGTTACAACGTGTGGAGCCCATTTCTGGTGTCCTCCGCCGTGATACTGTTTGAATATTGATAAAGGCGGCGCAAAACCAAACTCATGTACTCTTCAGTTGACATATACTAGTATGTGGTATGAATTAAACTTTCACATACACCTCGGTCTTTCGTACCAGTTTGATATTTGTATTTATGTTCCATGATACGTCATGAGTGACAAGTAACACCATCTAGGCTTTATACACCCACGTTAGAAAGAAACGTGATTCAGTATGTGAATCATGTCTGAAGACGTATGTGTCAGTATTGAATAGAGCTTCATGTGAAAAGATTGATTGATTGATTGATGTTAGTTTAACGCCGCAGACAGCAATATTCCAGCTGTATGACGGCGGTCTGTAAATAATCGAGCCTGGACCAGACAATCCTGTGATCAACAGCATGACCATCGATCTACGTAATTGGGATACGATGACATGTGTCAACCAAGTCAGCGAGCCTGACCACCTCTCGAAGATGAACCCTTACGACAAGCATAGGGTGCTGAAGACCAATTCTTACCCGGAACTTCACGGGTTTATAATAGCAAAACCTGGGTTCCATCATTCCTGGAAGTGGAAGATTGGAGGACATGTCAGTTTTGGCATATCAGCAGAAATCCAGGAACCAGGAGATTTTGTCCAGTTATAATTATGAAAGTTGGATAACAATATATGGATGAAAAACTTCTTTATTACAATGAGAGCGGTCTCACCGTAATAAAGAAGTAGTTCATCCATACATTGTTGTCCTTCCTTACTACGCCAACGTCCAAATGCCCCTCAAAGTATATAGTTATAATTATCAAGACGGTCTGCTTGTATAAAACTGACAACATGCACGGAGTGAACACCACTACCGTCAACTCGCAGTTTCCGTTTTGCTGAATATTTCGGAATATATACATCACACAAATTTAATGCCTTGACACATAAACAGACCCGTGCCAGTTATATTCGGACACTTGACGTAATTTCCATAGACTTACATCTTTGTCCGACTAATGTAATTTCAGACAGGATATCTCGACCAAGAGTACAAGCTTACTTTTCACATTATACTTGAGTTTGCCTACTGAAATATAGGGGGCGTTGAAGTAGTTTTGTGTTTCCCGAGCTCGCTCGAATCTGAAAGATCGGGTTCGTGTTATTGACGAGCCAATGGTATTTAGCATAAAAGAATAGAGATATACACCGGAGAATCTATGATGATCCAACGAGACCCATTAAATATGCAGAAGCCATATGAAAGCGAATGCGGCTAATTGCGTACTGAAATAATGGGGGCGTTGAAGTAGTTTTGTCTTTCTGGAGTTCGCTCATAGCTGAAAGATCGGGTTCGACTCCTAAAGTAAGGTTCAACGTCAACAACTAATCGTGGTGTACGCCGACATGATATTTCATGATTACTGGACATTGAGATGTGCAGTGTACTCTCTCAATGCCGAAACTAGACACCAATTTAAGACTATTTCAATCTGTTCAACGAAATTCAGGCCCGGATGCAATCACAGCCTACCTTTTCTACGAATCGGCGTCGTGAATTCCGACCAGTGCTAGAATGGGCGGACTTTCGGAGTTTTTTGTTGGACTCTGTTCAAGAAAAGAATAAAGAATCGTTGAAAAAAAAACACATACAAAAGAGCAATTGGTGTTGAGTGACTGAGTGAGTTTAGTTTTACGCCACACTCAGCAATATTCCACCTATATGGCGGTGGTCTGTAAAGAATTGAGTCAGGACCATACAATCCAGTGATCAAAAGCATGAGCATCGATCTACGCAATTGGGATACGATGACACGTGTCAACCAAGTCGGCGAGCCTGACCACCCGATCCCGTTGGTCACCAATTCTAACCCGAATTTCCACGGGTCCATTTGGTGTTGAATATTGTTAGGTGTAAATTATGGCGTTAAATCAATCGAGCATGAATAGAGACATGGGTTCTTAATTGTTCTACAACACTGATACAAAGCTCACACAACCATTCACTGATATCTAAACCGAAACATGAGTCGCATTAACCTATTCAGACAATGACCTACTTTTCAGTCGATCCGAATTTTCTCGTGTGAAAGTGAAAAGAGACACGACAAGTAACTATGGTTACACTGAATTAGCAGAAAATGGTATTTACAAGTTAAATTTCATTTTAAACTTTAATAACATCGTATTTCTATATTGTATGGCGAGGTATAGGCAGCATGTCGTTAACTAAGACGTCAGAGACTGCCCCTGCTTGATGAGGTCGAAAAATGATTCACAATTCACAATTCACAATTCACTGGTTACACCTGTTATGTGTTCTTTGCGCTAATTCAATGTAGTTTTGTAACGCACAGTGTGATTGATATAATATCAATTTCCGTACCAGACCGCCAAACTTTTATTTTAAATCAAAAGACTGTTATAAAGGAATGTAATTTTTACATGGACAAACATGTTTGTCTTTGTGAGTGAGTTTAGTTTTACACCGCTTTTAGCAATATTCCAGCAATATCACGGCGGAGGACACAATGGGCTTCACACATTGGACCCATGTGGGGAGCCGAACTCGGGTTTTCGGCGTGGCGAGCGAACGCCTTAACCACCAGACTACCCACCGCCTCTCCTATTAAGACAGCGGAATGAAGTCCACGCGATACAACTGTAAATGGTTGTAAATGAGACGACACGGCATACAATGCAGAGCTGATCATTAATTCCGTTCCATTGACACGACACTAAATATAGCCATCGAATCAACACAGGGGATATCGGGTAACAGGGGAAATAACCCGTATTTGTGTGTATTGTCTCAAATACAACGTCGAACGCCGGGCACAGTAAGGACTTCCTTCCATTTGCTTTATTTATACTCTAGAAAAAATACATTTTTGTGCTTGAAGTGCATTATGAACCTTACTAAAATCCTATACTTCAAGCATATTGTGAGCGCTCTCGAAAGGCGTCGCTATTTTGAAGAAAAATTTTGGTTGGTTCTTGATTGTAAGTTCTTTAGCGACACTTGATGGTTGGAATAATGCCGATGTGACGTAAAGCCAAACTCAACTCAACTTTAGCGACATAACTTCCGTTAACGATAAGGAGATCGTGACGTCACTTCCGCAACGAACGTTTGGTAGCACATGAGATCAGGATATAACCATTGGAGTGAAATAGGGATATAAGAAAGCTAGATCATACGGGATGGATACCGGTGATGTTGTCGATCGTTTGATCGTGCAACAAACTGAGATTTGACTTAACACCATATTTACACGTTGTGTTATGGACGAGTCAATGGTATTTAGCATAAAAGAATAGAGACTAATACACTTGAGAATGATGTTCTAACGAGACCAATAAATATACAGAAGCTGTATGGTTATGGAAAGCGAATGCAGCTAACAGTAGGATTATCTGAGAGAATTAACACATGCAAAACACACCTGGATTAGGGTCCACTTCAGAAACTAGGTCATATATCCGGGTACTGACAAAAAGAAACACAATGCGCATGCGTTAGGTTCGTGCAGAAGGCCCATGCAAAGAATGGCGTTTTCTGGGATATAATAGTGGTTATTGTTGTGATTACTGAAGCAACGTTACATCGGGTACACATCAGCAGACAATCATGCATAATAAAGCAGTAACTGTACGACAGATACAAGAAACATCACTTTACAAAAACATGAATACAATACGTTATCAAACCACGAACGAAAGTACAATACAAACATATTGCTTCTCATCATATATCATTGCCATGGCAACAGCTTGACGTTACCTTGACATCGGAGAACCTGCCATGGTTGAGTACGCCCTGTTCCTCACATCAACGTCGGACGTCACATCGTCGTCGTCGCAGCGGTAAGTGTAGAAGGCGACGCTCCGGGTCGTATCCCTCATTCTCATGTGAACTTTGTTGCCAGGCCTTGGCTTCCGCTCATCCTGCTGAGTGAGTTGAGTGGGTGAGTGAGTGAGTGAACGAGGGAAGGAGGGATCGAGAGAGCGAGGGAGGGAGGGAGGAAGGGAGCGAGGGAGAGAGGGAGGGAGGGAGGGAGGGAGGGAGGGAGAGAGGGAAGGAGGGAGCGAGGGCGAGGGAGGGAGAGAGGGAGAGCGAGCGAGCGAGCGAGCGAGTGTTATTGTTAAATGTAAGAGTCCAGTTTGAAGGGAACAATAGGCCTTTACCACTTAAAATAGTGAAACACGCAAAATTGTGCCGACAGCGGTCAAATGTAAAATTAATATTAACGTTAACATCACTAGAAAATGTATACAAAACGATAATAAATGTTATTTCCCATCCTAGTCGACATTATACCAGTTTTATCAGTGCGTAGGTGATGGATGGGATGGGGTGATGTGAAGGGTTGGTGAGGGCGGTGTTGTTTGCTGATGGCTGGGTGATGTGACGGCTGGGTGTGGTTTGGTGGGTGAGGGTGGTGATGATTGGGTGTGTGGGTCTGGGTGGATGAGTGCGTTTGGGTGATGTGATAGGTGTGGGTGGGTGGTGATAGGTGTGGGTGGGTGGTGATGTGTGGCTGTTTCGTTTACACCATAAATTGTGTTTCTGAGGCACTGACAGAAAAATATCATTTTGACATGTACGATAGTTTTTTATTTCGCTGGATGTCGTGTGCGACATTTTCTTCTTCCTAATGCCTTCCTAATAAGGAAATACACCACACTGAGTGTTGAACGAATTGGACAGGAAGTCCTTCCACTGACGGAAGTGTCGAGGACCTCTAACTGTAACACAGGTCAGTTTCAGCCTCCGCTGCTTAATTCAAGTCTGACCAAATATGAAGAAACTTGCAGGTCTTCAAAATCTGTCTCGACAGTTAACAGCGAGTGGTGAAATGATTAGTTTTGCATCAACCCTCACAATATCCAGAGTTGTGACAATACGGCACAGTTGAGCCATGGCGTCACACAGGCAAACGCGAACGATGAACACGCCATGGTGAAATTACAATATTTTTACATATCTTTTCCTTGTAATTCTTCATCATATAATTCAATTTCTCAAGAATAAAATATTCTTAAAATTACAACTTGTGCGAACACCAATTCCGGTATATATTAATTTTCAAGTCACTCTGAATCATGGAAAGTATAATGCACAAGTATTTTATATCGTCGCTGTCCTGTCAAAACCTCGTATCCGACATTTATTAAGTTTTGAGATAATCGAAAAAAACTGTTTCATTTCTTTATGTGCAAACTTAACACAATGAGTTTTCAACCATAACTTTGCATCATTATGTGCGGTGAAACCAAATATGTTTGGCAACTTAATTCCAAAGGATTAGGTCTGAACGAAAATTACGAGGTTATTATTATTAAATAGGATATTTTGAAAACAGGTGATTGCACTTAAATGTATTCAAATAACTATTAAACAGGAAGATGAGGCTGTCTAGTGTCTGATCAACGAGCCACAACAATTATAGCATTATCAAATACAACGTTTAAACAAGAAAAAGATCATTTTATGGCCCAAGGCTCATTTGCATGCCTTGTTTTATCGGTGTAAGAAAATGCTAAATGGACCAGTTATTCATGACTGCTGTTGCGTGATTTATTGTAGGGGGCCCTAATCAATTAAAACTTCATCTCATTTACAGTATCGTCTCTAAAGACATCTCACGGGGCTCTGTACCTGTACTGACCATACAGTCAAACTCCTTAAAATGAGCAAACATTGCTACAAAGCCTTTGTAAACTTAAAGATAAAGAATGGAACGAATTGTAACACATGTTCTGTATCAACCCTGATTACATAAGTCTTAGCCAACTATTGGGCACAACTCTGTACGTGCATGCAGGCACCTTCCCCGAAGTCTGATAACTGATAGAACAAGTAGGAAACAACCGTCAGGACATATGGTCCAGTCACCATGTTTCAACAGTGATAAGCTTCTCATAATTATATCGGCCTCTGACAAACTCCTTAGAATGAATAAACACCCATGAAATACCATTGTAACTTAACTATTTGTAACATAAAACAGGTCCCCTCTCCTAGCGCTACATTCTGAATTATGAACATATTGCAATAACAGCTTAAAACCATACAGTTTGACACTACTTCAACCAAACTGTTCTAATAGTAATTGCCACGAGCAGTTGCAGCTTTCAGTATGGTGGAAACGCTAAAATTAAGTCAAGGCAAACCACTGTAAAAAACAACCGAGAAAACCCGACCTGACCCCACATGGACAAGATATTGGAGTTTTTCAAATATAACAGAGCGTTGACCATAAGTGGCTTTTGCAGTATGGCCCAGTCGACGGCCATATTGGATTTATAGCTGCTTGAACAGATTGAACTATCAGTGTTGCCTTATATATATTTTTAGTAGCTTCTAGAGAAGAAGATGTAATTATCCGACAGCCTACGATCGTGAAAAGTTGATTTGATCGCTAAGACGTTTATCGTTTTTTTAACGTTGTTTTACAAATGGCAGCGATACATGCAAAGCTGTTTCGCTAGATCGTATGTCCACGGAAGGTCATTATAATGTAAATCGAACCTTCAACAAACGAAATTATTGTTTTGTGTCGACATGCGCAAGGGAATAGCTCGGGAAGCAATCTTGAACATTGAAAGCATGAACCATTCTCTTGCACAGAAGGATAGTGTCACGTCCTGTCGGGCATAATCAACATCGTGTTCAGATACTATAGCACCTTTAGAAAATCTGATAGCGGCCTTGAAGCGAATGTTCCACCTAAACGAATACATCCAGAACATATGGGAATCTGGGATCAACAGGTGGTGTCCCACCTAAACGAATTCAACACAAAGGCCTAAACGAATACAGAAAATGGAATTATGGTTCTAATTAACTAATCATCCCGAACATATGGGAATCTGGGATCAACAGGTGGTGTCATTCAACACAAAGGCTGAGTAAATGAATACTGTTCTGTATCTATTACCACAAACGTGTGTGAGTGAGTGAGTGAGTATAGTTTGACGCCGCTTTTAGCACTATTCCAGCAATATCACGGCGGGGAACACTGGAAAGGGGCTCCGCACATTTTACCAAAGTAGGGATTCGAACCCGGCCTTCAGCGTGACGAGCGAACGCTTTAACCACTAGGCTACCCAACCGCCCCAGAAACGTGTGTGAAGCCACCATGCCCTCATACATGTATTCCCAGTAATAAGACGTGTAAACAACAGTTTATTATGTTTTAAGAGTTATTTGTACATCCGACTGTAGCAGGATTCATTCCTACTCCCCCTGTTGCAATAAGAGCACGTTTTAAGCGGTGTTTCCTTAACTTATGACCGCAGAATCTTTGCACTTGTACACAGCTGGCTTAAAAATAAGCAAATCGTTTCAAGTTTTAACACAAATGCGCTATCACGTAACTGGACCTCTGTTCGGCCACAGGAAATACTGGCATGTTGCCACATCGTTGTGCTGCTGTTCATGTCAAGCAATAGAAAACATATTTTTTATGCAAACTGTGAGACTAGCAGGTGAATCCGGTAGGGCATTATAGGTTCGATGATCCGATGATTTTATTTTAAACCCATTTTATGGACTATCCAACGTAGTTACGTTTTATACTATAACATTATATGTTTACTGAAATTATTTCGATAAACAAATGTGTCCTGTGAACTAAACTACAGGTACAGGCAAACTGTTTAAATGTCTCATTCGAAATTTCGATCGTATATTCTTATTCCACCCTTATTCCGAACAACTTCGATCCGTTGAGACGGATGAAGGAAGAGCCAATAAAATCGTTTGTTTTCATTTTCATCACGCTTGAAAAGGCTTAATCAAGGGCCATGACACTAAATGATGCCGTACCACTGAACAGACACAATTTTTTTTTAAAAATTTAAACATATATCTTAACTGATAAATTCCTAAATTCCTCTTTATTTGGAAAACCAGGAGTTCGGATTTGGCGCTGACAAACCTAGAATCACACATATTCAGGAACTCGAAACCGAAATCATGTATGTCACGTATAAGGGAGGCAATTTGCATATGAATTACGGAGCCTTACAAGCCAAGGGTCAAGAAAAGACTAAAGAACAATCATATTTCAACGTACCAACACCCCTTGATATCTGTGCAGCTTGACCGCTCTCTTCACCCCTGCTGACCGCGTCTCCGGGTCGTCCAAGCTGCTGTGCCAAGCCTGTATCCTCTCCTCCAACCGAGTTAACGCCACGTCTCCGATTGACAACGCCGCCTCATCCCCACTGTCGGCATCCTCCGCCAACATCGGCGACAACGTCTGCCCACTGCCGGTGGATTCTCTGCCCTTGTTGTCATTGACCTGAAACAAGGTGGCGTCCTGGAGAAGGTCCTCCGGATCATCATCAGCAGTCTGGTACGTTATCTTAGGAGGAAACTGAGCGTTCTGGAAGGTGGGAGTTGGGGTTTTCCCTGGTTCTGTTATAAAAGGATTATGTGTTAAGGACATCTCCGGATGGGGCAAGCCTCCATAATCCTCCTGGGTATTCGCTTTCGACTTGCCAACTTCAGGCAAAGCGCGAGCGCCAAACGTAAACTTTGACTGCGATGTGACCCCGAACTTTGAACCCCCGAACTGTTTGGGTCTCTGGGTACGTCTTTTCTTCTCTTTCTCTCTCATTCTGATCATGTAGAAGACGCTGCCCGGTCCGAACAGGTTGACCAGTGGTCCTTTCTGAAGACTGGCCACCTTCCAACCTGGCTCGTTCGGTTTCTCCGAGGCAGCTGTCTGCTCTGTTTGGTTGTCCCTCTTCTCCTTCTCGTCAAGTGTGTAGAGGAAGTAGCGGAAGAGAGGAAGCTTCTCCTCGCTCAGTCTGGAGAAGTGGAGGCTCAACTTGGTGTGGACGATGTTCTTCATCAACTTGATGGCATTCGGGTTCCTCCGCTCAATCAAGCGGTCGTAGTTCCTCTGGTCAAGTTGATACACTTCTGCTTCCTGTGTGCAGATGACGCTTTCAGCATACGTCGAGAGACCTAGCGCCATCTCTAAGTCACCTGCCAGGGACAACAAAGGAGTTGGTTTAACATACCCACGTGTTATAACTGCCATCAACAAGGGCGTGTTAAAACCGAAATAAATCTTTAAGATCAAAAACGATGTTTGTAAAACAAGAAGTACAAATATTATGCAATGGGATTGAACTGCTCTTGATTAAAGTGCTCTTAGATAAAGTACGTTTGATTGGAGAGCTCGACATATTTACGAACCATTAACACGGTATTCTGCAACACAACCAGATATGCCAGGTACCTTCTCTACCACTGCCGTAAGTCTATATTACAGTATAGGAGGTACGAGAGTCGAAGCGCTACGATAGCTTTGTAAAACGGGACCCGACCTAAAAGCTGACCTAAAATACTCAAGTAATTTCATGATATTTCTTAAATATTCACAAACAGATGTAATTGCTATGAAATATTGATTTTTGTTAAATATAACACAAAAACTACATTTCTATTGCCTAAATGAGTACGAAGCTTATCTTATGGCTTTTACGTACCTATGACGTCGACAGCTCCCATGAGGCAAAGTTCAAGATGGCGGATCGCCGTCTTTTTGCCATCTTGTTGAGGCTGTTTCCGTTTCTGATAAGTCACTTTCTTGTCAACTGCCTTACTCTTCTCCAGGTTCATCTCCCTGGAAATACAAATATTTCGAACATGAGAAACACAAATTAGTAAGAATAATCCCAACACCGCATTGTATCGATATCAGAAGAATCATATCTCATTTCAAAACTAAAAACAATTTCCATTCCAATTTCGTTTAATTTCCGATGTCACATGTACAAATAGAAATGAGAATGTTTTTCACACAAAAACACACTTGACGAATATGAAAAACTCACACGACGAATATAAAAATCTCACATGACGAATATGAAAAACCCATTTGACGAATGAAACCTGCTGAGGCGGGGATTGCCAACATCGATGATGGTGTTGTATACCGTCACTCTGTCATGTGGAATGTTGGTCCAGACTCGATTATTTACAGACCGCCCCCATATAGCGGAAATATTGCTGAGTGCGGCGTAAAACTAAACTCACTCACTCATGTGGAATGTGTGGGTGAGTCAGTGAGTGGGGTTCTACGCCGTATTGATTGGTGTTTTAGGAATAAACGGAACAAGAACAGATTATGAGTGTGCTTCTAAACACCTCGCATCAACTACAAAACCTTCAGCGAACCCTGCTCTCCTTGAAGCACCTTGTGTGGGTATAAGACGGGTATATGCGTTCTTAAAGAGTCCTCACCATATCTCTTTTTGTTTTCTTTTACGTATGCTTCTCTTAACCTGTCACTTGTCCGACCAGCAGTGTCACGAGTAAACCAGGGTGTGACGTGGAAACTGTACCGATGTGGCCTTCTGTCATGCCATATCCGAGGAGAGATCATCCTTAACTGGACATCGATTTAGACAGATGCCAACTTTATGCTAAATCACATATGAGTTCCAGCTAATGCTAACAAACCTTGGGTGGAGTTGCCCTACACTGAGATCTGATTTTAATGACTTCTAAAATGCCAATCAAACAGATGATTTTACAGAGATTCACTTCATTTTCTTCATAAAGAACATGATTAAACCGCACCCCCTATTTAATCAATAGCGTTAACCAGCACCAGAGACAAACCGAAGAAGACATCGATGAAGCATCGTCCTCGACGTTTTTGTTTCGTTGTTGTTTTTTATATTTTTTTTTTTTTTGGTTTTGTTTGTTTGTTTGTTTTGTTTGTTTATTTTGGTTTTGGTTTGTTGTTGTTTCTTTTTGATTGTTTTTTGTTGTTGTTGGGGGTTTTTTTTGGGGGGGTGTCGTCGTATCCCAATTGCGTAGATCGATGCTCATGATGTTCATCACTGGATTGACTGGTCCAGACTCGATTAATTACAGACCGCCTCCATATGGCTGGAACATTGTTGAGTGCGGCGTTAAACAACAATCAATCGATCGATCGACGTTATTTGTTGAAACAGTGATGATAATACTGCCAAGTGTTCTACCTCCAGCGCACACATCCGAGTTTTCAGTTTAACGAGTGTGTGAGTACGCGAGTGAATAAGTGAATGAGAGCATGAGTACGTTAGTGAGAGCGCCAATACGCGAGTGAGTACGCTAATGGAAGCGTTGGTAAGCGAGTGAATACGTTAGTGAATGCGTGAGTGGTAATTATTGGTAAATAATTGAAGCTACATTTGGACGCAAACGCATCGAACCCCGGAGCACGAACCCGCCACCCCAACACACTTGTATTGGTTGCTCTCTCCATGTTCTTACCTCCGGAGTAGTTCTCTGGCCTTCTCCCTCTCCAGCGCTGCGATGTCACCCTTGGGAAACAGGGTGGGGTACTGGACGGGGTGGAGACTCGGGTCCACCACGATCTTCACCTGCCCGCTGAAATAAACAAACGTACGTCACGTCGTCATGACAATATTCCAGCACACAGATTGGACTTAGATGGGAAAGCGAAACCGAAATCGAACCTACGCTTTAACCACTTGGCTACCACACCGCCCTTCATTTCCAACAGCAGGAAAGGTTCCTAAAACTCAGACTAGAGTCCATATGGGTTCAATGTAACTCACCTGATTATGAAATGAAGACCGTCTACGGAGGTATCCTGTTTGATGACTGTGTCTTCAAACTTAAGACTCCTCTTCACCAGACTCATAGCGACCATCCTCTTGTATCGAGGGTTCCAGCCCGAGAATAGTGGGTAGTCGTCCACAAAACCGTACTTCTTCTCGAACTCTTGGGCCTGGAAAGAGAAGTAGATAAAGTGAAGCAGTGAGTTTACTTTTACGCCTCTTTTAGCAATATTCCAGCAATATCACGGCGGGAGACACCAGAAATGGGCTTCACACATTGTACCCATGTGGGGAATTGAACCCGGGTCTTTGGCGTGACGAGCAAACGCTTTAACCACTAGACTACCCCATTTCTGTCACTTCTGTACCGCAAAGGTTACAGTTTATAATGACGACCCATACAACTTCTTCAACAATGACGAAGACCAAGGTTCGACTCCTCACATGGGTACAACGTGTGATACATTTCTGGTGTCCCCCGCCCTGATATTGCTGGAATATTGCTAAAAGCGGCGTAAAACCATACTCACTCACTCACCCTTCAGTAATGAAGATTAGGAAAAGAATGAAGGAGTACTGTTTTGTGCCGCTTCTAGCAATACTTCAATTTTTCTCAAAAATGAGGAGTTTTACGCAACATAATTTGGTTGCTTAGTCGGCACTGTGCTAGGGATCAGGGATCTGATGGTCTGTGTTCGAATCCCAGATTCGCTCTGACTACAACTTGTCAACACCACACACATGTAGGATTTCCCCACACCTACCTGATATGCGTGCAGTGATCTGTTGTACAGGTCTCTGTTCACCATCAACAAATCCGTCGTCTCGTCGGCGATGATGGTGGCGTTGCGGACACTGTCGGCTCTGATGAGCGCAAGTTCGCCGAAACTCTTACCAGCCGCTGTAACAAAGTCAGCAACACGTTATCTACTCAATACATCAGTGAGCAAGGAAATAGTGGTTGATACTCTAACCGTACATTGACTGCGTGACACAAGTTCCTGGCTCGGCCAAGGGACGCGACTCTACCGAACGACCGGGCGCCACCTGTATTTCCGTTTTGTCTATGGACTTACGTATCTTGGCCATGTAGGTTCCATATTTAGACCTGTCCAGAGACTTGAACCCCTCGGAAGCAATAACATTAGCCTCTTCATCTAATTGTTTCTGTTTGATGGACTCGAAGTCGTCTTCGACGAGGTTGGTGTTGATGTGAACGCTGACAGTGCCGGTGAGAATGATGTAGAACCTTACAAAGAACAAGAGTCAGAAAGTGTTTTGGTATTAACGACTTATGGAAAGAACTGTTTGATTGACATTACAGACGTTGACAAATACATTATATATAGTACTTACCAACCATTATCATTTGTTGTCATCTACCCCTCATGCATACCATGTTGTTGTTGGTGGTGGTGGCTGTTTGGACGTTGTTGTTAATCTTATCAAATGTGACTAAGTCTATACTGTACTGCTGTCAGACAACCCTGCATTAGGAATACTAATAACGGAAATATTTATACAGACACCCGTGAATTGATCTTCAGCAACCCATGCTTGACGTAAGAGGCGACTAACGGGATCGGTTGGTCAGGATCGCTGACTTGGTTGACACGTACCATCGCGAAAATCGATCCCAATTGCGTAGATGATGCTCATGGTCCAGATTCGATTATTTACAGACCGCTAGCATATAGCTGGAATATTGCTGAGTGCGGCGAAAACTAATCCCACTCACTCATTTATACAGAAAGACTACGATATATTTCGTAGAGTGGCCATGAAGCTAAATGTACAATGACATTTTTCTTACATAATTTTGTTATGCGCTAGCATGGAAAATACATTAGTACAAGCAAACGTTATGTAATTTGTTTACAAATATGGCTAGGCATAACATAACAATTGCATTTTGGTTATTAAGTAATTTACAAACTTCTGTATGTTATGATTAACATAATAATATTGGGGTATATATCTACTTAATCAGAATAAACAGGGCATTGTAATAGTACATGGTACTAATCCTCGACCATATTGACGCAATGGGCGCACATGGCGGAACTGATATCATCATCTTTGGATCTATAGGTTGGTAGATTTAGTTTACTAATGCAACATGTAAATTTTGTAAGAGATCTGCGAAGTTGCATAGAGGGTAATATTTTAAAATATGTTTCACGGATTTCATGAAATCTTCATATCTCATGCAAAATACCAGAATGCAAGCAATTTATTCGTACTTTTATATCACATAAGTATTGACTGACTGACTGAGTTTGGTTTTACGCCGCTTTAAGCAATATTCCAGCAACATCACGGCGGGGGACACCCAAAATGGGCTTCACGCATTGTACCCATGTGGGGATTCGAACCCGGGTCTTCGACGTGACGATCCAACGCTTTAACCATTAGGCTACCCCACCGCCCTTACATAAGTATTGAAAAGATTGTGAAAAACTCACTTGTCTCCCTTGTCGCCTTGTCTGATGATCGCTGACATTTGTCTGACAATATCCAGCAATATTTCTGAAAGAAAGTGACAGATCGCGCAAATACTTCTGTTAAATGCTAAATAGTCACGTTTAATGCTCAGGTCAGCATGGCCTCTCTGATTCACAATATCTTAACAGCAATATTTAACACATTAAACTCATATTTCTGAAAGAAAGTGACAGATCGCAGTCAAATACTTCTGTTAAATGCTAAATAGTAACGTTTAATGCTCAGGTCAGCATGGCCTCTCTGATGGACACATGGCTAACAAATCTTCTTAACACATTATCACTACACTAATTAACATATTATCACTACTCTAATTAACACATTGTCACTACTCTAATTAACACATTGTCACTATTCCACATTATCACTACTCTAATTAACACATTATCACTACTCTAATTAACAGTCACATTATCACTACTCTAATTAACACATTATCACTACTCTAATTAACACATTATCACTACACTACTGGACACACTTCCACTACTATAATTAACACACATTTTCACAACACTATAGAAATCATTCGTTATTATTCTGTCGAGTTATACCTTGTTATAACACATTATTACTTCTCTTTTTAACACATTCTACTCTACATAACACATTAATATATGGTCATTCTACACTCGAACTCATTACCACTATCCATCTGACCACTGTCAACGCACCTGTTTTCAGCTCCTTGAACAGTTCCGGCTTTCTTCCTGAACCAGGGTAGGATGGTGTCTATCTCACTGTCCCCCCTCTCTGTGGGGGGTTTGTTGATGATGTGCAGCACGCGCTCGTACACGTGCGCCATGATGCCCCAGGAACTGCCACCGCGGCTGCCTGAAACGTCAACACCGTAAGCAAGTCAGTGTAGGTGATGGAGTGTTATGTCACAGTGTATCACCTTGGTCAAGGACCCGTGAAGGTCCGGGTTAGAATATTGATCTTCAGTAACCCATGCTTATCGTAAGAGGCGACTAACGGGATGCTGCTTGCTCACTGGATTGTCTGGTCTACACTCGATTATTTACAGACTGCCGCCATGTAGCTGGAATATTGCTGAGTGCGGCGTAAAACTACTCTCACTCACTCACCTTGGTCAAGGAAGAAGGTGATGCAGGTTTTAGAAATGTACCACTTTAAAGTGAATGCCACAAGGACCGATATGTTGCTTAGCAACCTAGAAGGGCTGGTGGGGTAGCCTAGTGGTTAAAGCGTCCGTCACGCTGAAGGCCCGGGTTCGATTCCCCACATGGGTACAATGTGTGAAGCCAATTTCTGGTGTCGCCTGCCATAATATTGCAGGAATATTGCTAAAAGGGTTTCTGGCACGTCCACGAGGTACAGAAATGACCATCGTTTTATGACACCTTTTTAGCACACATAGTTCATGTCCTTATGGTAATGGGGACCGCCTCCGTGGTGTAGTGGTTAGAGCGTCCACCCGGAGAGCGGAAGGTCGCGGGTTCGATCCCCGACCGCGTCATACCAAAAGACGTTAAAATATGGTACTTGTTGGTCCCTGTCTGGCGCTAGGTATTAATGGGTACAACAAGGACTGGTCGGCTCGGAGTCAGTATAATGTGTCTGAGTGGGGTATTCATGCTTCACTGCGGCATGGTATCTCAGTGGGCTAGCACTATAAAACCAGCTTCAGTCTGGGCTAGTACAAGCAGCCGCACATACACATACACACGCATACACGTCGTCATATGAGCGAAATATTCTCAAGCACGACGTTAAACCCAATTTCACCTCATCTCACCTCACCTCACCTCACCTCACCTCACCTTATGGTAATGTTGGTTATGCTGATAACTGAAACCAGCACACATCGTTAGCTAGCAAAATGGAAAAGGCGTGTTAGATTATCATAGATGATAGAAAATGACGGTGATGTGTACTACACTCCGAACAACGTCGATTTTGCTATATTTCCACATTATGCTAATTAGCGAGTTGTTTGTCACGGAAGCTTATGGCCTCATTCCTCGTATCAGCATAGCATTCAGGAGTGACGTGTTAGCATGTGGTTATCTTTTACCATTCACTAAAACCTGTACCACGAATCTAAGAATAATGGAGATTTACATGTCAATTTGAGGTTTCAAATCACAATAACGATATTAGTTTGTAACAGCAGATTTGAAACAGCATTGCCATGGAAGTTAGATATCAAAGAGTGTCAATTAGAAAGAATGACTTTTCAATTATTTCAAAATGCAGAGTTTTGGTTTCTCAACTATTCATGTATGGAGATCCGTGTCATTGAACAGAAATGAGCACTGTGACGTTATAATAGTGAGTGAGTGAGTATGGTTTTACGCCGCTTTTAGCAATTTTCAAGCAATATCAAGGCGGGGGACACCAGAAATTGGCTTCACATATTTTACCCATGTGGAGAATTGAACCCGGTACATTGGCGGCACAAGCGAACGCTATAACCACTAGACTACCCCACCGCCCCGTTATAATAGTGACGTGTGGTATAAAACAAAGCAATGCAAGGTTTGTTTCCAATGTTTTGTACGTGTGAAATTCCATGTTGTTTTACATGCAGGTTATGTTTCCGTCTACCCTATCCAGTGCCCTATTATTCAATACCTTCGGTCTCAGAAAGAATTTGTCACGGTCAACTGAAAATAGACATGCGCGTTTACTTCAAAATCAAAATTAAGTCAATTTTATCTACATGTGACCTGCACTGAAAATTTCGTCATGGTCATCTCGTAAATCACGGACACAGTGCTGACACTGTAAAGACCAACGAGCAGCCGATCGTGGCACGACAAGGGGAGGCAACTCTTCTATAAGAGCCCCACAATTTCATATACATCATTCACAATGATGTATCTGATCCGAATGCGGTTTCCTTATTTGGCAGAGCCTCGTTTTGAGATTTCCACGATTTCCAGATTTCCATTTGTCAGAACACGCTGTACGAAAGAGCACGCTGCTCGACGTGTTTGAAAGGATTAGAAGGCGCGTAGTGTTGTAATATACAAGTGGTTAGATGTTTCCAATAATACTGATTAATATTTATGTATCCAGTTGAATGAATTGGTCTCAAAATTCTGGACTGGTTATTGTACTAAGTTGCGCAATGGGACGGAACCCAGTCAGCAGGAAACGAGACTGTTATGTAATCAATGTTTTGACTTGCGCGACAATGCGACAATGTCCCAACCAGGATTCCATCATTTTCCCCACTTCCTTGATGTGTTGCGAGGTCATACATACAAACGAAATTTCACATTTTTTCAATGTTCAAGTTGCTTTAGTTTTTGGTGCTTTTAGGGTTTTTTTTTATCTTTTATAGCAATTTAATATGGTATTTACACTTAACAGTAATAGATTGTTAAATTCTGCAATGAACCCATCAAAACACGGCACAAGAAATCAACACATTCCGAGCATCATGATAATGTGTTTACGTGATAATGAGAGAAACTGGCCATTGATCAAGAACCGACTGGCGTTTTATGATCAACGTCCCCGGTCGTTAGACAAAGCAAATCGATATTCCCCACACCTATCAAGCTACCCGTTGTTCATTTATAGCCAGACCCTCACCCATGGGACTACTCGACTACCACGATATGTGTTTTGTAGCCTAAACCGTAATACTAATTTGAAACTGTATCAATTACGACGGTAGACTACGCCAGTAAATACGACATCGCGGGTAACGTGTAATCAGCCTGGCTGTTCGTAGCTGGACATCAATACTCGCAGGAAGACCATTATAAAGTCATTGTTATGTTTCTGTGCCTAACTGCATAACCGTATCCCATTACGTCAATGTGCTACATCCGGGTAGCGTCAGTTAGAGACGTATCGATGTAATCGTACGGAAAGGGTAACCTAATATTTTCAAACCCACGCTTATTTTCTAAATCTTCCTCATTTTGGTCCTAGGCTGGGACTAATTGTCAACATTAGTAAGACTGACCTTTATGTTTCAAACATCACCTTGTTTGTTTATCTAAAGTTTCACAATGTAGATAAATGTAGATAATGTAGATCCGTTAGGAGCTAATCCTAACCCTAAGTTCGGTTTCAGACAAGTCACTAATAATACTGAGATAATGTTTCAGGTTCAGGAGGCACACTAATTTCATTTGAGATCATGTTTCAGTTTCAGACAGGACAGTAAGTACACTGAGATAATGTTTCAGTTTCAGACAAGGCATTATTAGCACTGAGATAATGTTTCAGTTTCAGACAAGGCATTATTAGCACTGATATAATGTTTCAGTTTACACAAGGCATTAAATGTTTCAGTTTCAGGAATTACACTAATGATATCTAGATCATGTTTCAGTTTCGGACAGGACAGTAAGTACACTGAGATAATGTTTCAGTTTCAGACAAGGCATTATTAGCACTGAGATAATGTTTCAGTTTCAGACAAGGCATTATTAGCACTAAGATAATGTTTCAGTTTCAGACAAGGCATTATTAGCACTGAGATAATGTTTCAGTTTACACAAGGCATTATTAGCACTGAGATAATGTTTCAGACAAGGCATTATTAGCACTGAGATAATGTTTCACTTTCAGACAAGGCACTATTAATTTTTTATTAGCACTGTGATAATCAGTTTCAGGAAGTACGCTAATTATATTGAGATGATCTTTTAATTTCAGACAAGTTACCGATTACAACGTCTTGACCACGACTGACGTGGACACCAGCGTGTGGGACGCTGATTCCCTCTAACTTCATCTCAAGTGGTCATACTTGTCAGCAAGCTCCTGGGCTCATTATATAGATGTACATTCAAACTACAGGCATGATATCAACAGTAATCGCCATTCAGTAATGAAGCAAACAGGAGAATCTGTTGATACCGGAAGTAAACTCCCAACTAAGCATATTCTCACTGTCCCGGGTTTCCCATCCTCGAGGATGCAGGGCATTTTATGTGCAGTGTTATATATATCCCAACAGAACGGTGCAATATACTTTTGATAAAGAAAGTTGGTTGGTTGGTTGTTTAAGGCAGCACTCAGGAATATTCCAGCTATATGGAGGTGGTCTGTAAATAATTGAGTCTGGACCAGAAAATCGAGTGATCAACAACATGAGCATCGGTCTACGCAATTGGGGTACGATGACATGTGTCAACCATTAGTCGCCTCTTACGACAAGCATGGGTTACTAAAGATCAATTATAACTTCACGGGGCCCAACTGCAACGAAAATAGCCTGATATTATCTTATCGGCTATAATGTGTTGCACATAAAAAATATGTTTTATTGACGCGATGTATTTTACGTGGGGGTACATACAGATATTTATACTTTTAGCATTCCTGAAGCGGTGACCGTCCTTCTGGTAGGACGATATACACACTACACGGGCAGATATGAGTAAATTCCGCAGCTTAACTTCAACCCCACTCAATAACTAAATGAGTGAGTTGGGTTAGACACCGCTTTGAACAGTATAGAAAAACAGTCATGTAGTTGCCACAATGGTTGTTGATACGTGAAGGAAGTAGAGCTAGGTGCCACCTGTGAACGTTGCTCAGTCTGTTATATACGTAGAGAAATAAATAAAGGAACACAGGAAAATTCAAGCGTTCCTGTATTATTATCCAGTTTTCATCACCACAGCGCTATTCAATGCTGTTGATGAAAACTAGAAAATATTAAAGGAACGCTTGAATTTTCCTGTGTTCCTTTATTTGTTTCTCTGTGTATATCTTATGGTTCATCATGTTGCGGGGCCTGCTTGTCCTTCTGTCCACACGTTTCTGTGGTTAGGTGGTGGGTAGGTCCATGCTAGAGGAAGGTTTTGATGGTATGCCTCTTGCTAGGTTTGGGTAGGTGGTGGGTAGGTCCATGCTAGAGGAAGGTTTTGATGGTATGACTCTTGCTAGGTTTGGGTAGGTGGCTCTATGTTAGAGGATCACAACAAATAGACGAGTTAGTACTCTGTGGGGTTAGACCATCTAGAAAAGGAGGTGGAGGTGGACAAATTCACTCGGATTTTCCCAAGAGGACGTTCTGTGTGCGTCCATGCGTGTGCATTTGCATGCGCGTGTGCGTGTGTGTGTGTCTTTGTGTGTAAAGTAGGGAGTGAGTGATAGACGAGTGATATGTGTCAATACTGTACCGGACAGTCCATTTACGAGGTTCTGGACGGTTGAGGGGATGTGGGTTTGGACGACTGATATTTTCAAAACAGTCATCTGTATTCTCCATAGATGGTGATCTGTACAGTGGGGTTGGGCGGGTATATGTTCCAGCGCACTATCGGACTATCCCCAGAGGCGGGTCTGGAGAGTGGAGGGCGAGTGTAGTTGGGAAAGTGATATGTGCCAGTACTCATCCGGGCTTTCCCTAGGGGGGGATCTCGGATGTGGAGAGCTGTGGGGTTGGGCGAGTGATAGGTGCCAGTATTCTATCGGACTCTCCCCAGAGGCGGGTCTGGAGAGTGGAGGGCGAGTGGAGTTGGGCAAGTGATATGTGCCAGTACTCATCCGAGCTCTCCAAAGGGGTGGATCTCGGCTGTGGAGGGCTGTGGGGTTGGGCGAGTGATAGGTGCCAATATATAAAATAGAAGGCTGGGTGGCGAGTGAGTTCTAGCTCACTGTGTCAATAGTCTACCGAGCAATCTCCCTAGAGGACATCATGGCAGCGGAGGGAGAGTTGGGTTGGGCGAGTGATATGTGCCAGTACTCATCCGGGCTCTCCCAGGTGGTGGATCTCGGCTGTGGAGGGTTTAGGGGTTGGGCGAGTGATAGGTGCCAATATTCTATCGGACTCTTACTAGAGGAGGATTTAGAAGGCTGGGTGGCGAGTGAGTTCTAGCTAGTGATATGTGTCAATAGTCTACCGAAGAATCTCCCTAGAGGACATCATGGCAGCGGAGGGAGAGTTGGGTTGGGCGAGTGATATTGCTCCGGGCTCTCCTTTGAGGAGACACTGTACAGTGGCGGGTGAGTGGGGTTGGGCGAGTGATACATGCCGGTATTCCTCCGGACTCTCCTCGGTTTGGGCGAGTGATATAGTCTAGCTACAGGACTCTCCCTAGAGGGGGATCTGGACAGAGGAGGGCGAGTGGGGTGGTCGTATGATATGTGCCAGTACTCACCCGGACTCTCCCTTGAGGAAGGGTTGGTTTCCCTAGAAGCAGGCGCGGGGGCTTTGCGAAACGGGTTTGACTCCCTCGACTGGGGACTGGTATCCTGAGAGCCCAGCCTGGACTGGGGCGAAAGGCTCTGAGGCTGTGCCATGGTAGATGACGGAGATGTGTCTTTATCGTGAGTTCGCGACATGGTCTATGTTAGAGGTACAGTGTATATGACGCCTGGTCATCAAACTGATTCTCACAGGAATATAGAACTGATACAGACCTGACTCTCATCGACACAGAACTGATTACTATATGAACACAGAACGATGTAATTCTTACATGAACGTAGACCTGATCATCACATATACACCGAGCGTACTTTCACATGAAATCATAATTCATAACAGAGCTGAAATCCAAATTTCAATAGCTGCAGATTGGTTAAATATCCATGTTAGAAAATGTCCCACAAGACAGAAAATCAAGAATCGTTAGATCCAAATTGCAAAGAAATGTTATCAAATCTCAACAGATGCAAAGGCGTTAGGTAAAAACGGATGGTCTTGCATAATATATACCACATTCCAGTTTCACCCCATCATATACTCCAACATCCACGGCGCTGTAGCCACGGGCTCCTCCACGTCTTCATCACGCATCACATAACAAGGACAGCTAGGCACATCCCAAACACTAGTCATCACACGTGTAAAATCATTTCACCTACACGAACACACACTAAAGCCTAGACCTTGGTGTGAGAGTTTTAAAAGAAAGACGGTGGATTAGTCTAAATTCGGAAATGACCCTTCCATCCGTTCCCTCCTTTCGGAATTAAGGTATTCCAGAATTCAGCAGTCCGGCTCATCTACAGGGGGTATCTGAAATCTCGCGACAGTGTCAAATGGTGCTCTAGAGTCAAGATTGGTGACAAAACAATGTCACATGGAGCTCTAAAGTCAACAGGGGTGACAAACCAATGTCACAATGTCATACAACGGATACCCAGTCCTTTCACAGAAGTTAGAAATGGTTAACTTGTCCGCTATTCATATAGCGAAAGCACCGAGCTCTATTGGCACACCTGAACGCTAACTTGTTGTTTATGATCAAAAGCGGGGAACGAATGATCGATAGAATATGACCAATTGTCGATAGTGTTGGGATTGTGGCGGCGCACGGAGTGAGGAGAGTGTGTATCCATATTTGTCCACGGTTGCCCAGTACCAAGACGGCGTCGCTATGTGGACGTTCAGGGCCGGCCACGACGGTGAATAAAAGCAAGCTGTCTTAGAAAATATCAAGCGGGCAACAGAGTTGACGCTCGTTGACTTCTATATGACGATTTAATATCGACGGAAATTCAATGGGCCCCGTCCATGTGGATAATTCTCTCACAAAGGCCATCGACATTGCCCTGGACGTAGCGTGGACTCCTGACACTGCAAAACAATGACAGGAGTTTTAAGGGTTCCGGATATCGGTTCTGGCAGGAATGGCAAATGGAAACGGCTGTTGTCGGACCAGTGTGTTTCCGCATTGTAAAAACAATATACCAGGAACTAAAAGAATAGAGAGCAAGTTTTCGACGAGAATTTTTTTTCCTAATACTTTGGTAGAGCAGAAATCAAATACCAGGAAGAAAAATTGCATCGTGCGAGCATAATAAATAATTGCATTCTCATAGTGATAGATTGACCATAAGGAGACACGTGGGGGTAGTATTGTTTTCATCATACAAGATACAATCATACAATTCTTAAACTAATCGATGTTTAAGGTTATTACAGCCGATGAAGTAACAACATAAACTGCGTATGAATACAATGAGTTAGTAGATGTAAACAGGCATGTTTCCTGTCTCGCTGCAATGCCCTGGCCCGTGTTTGAAAGCAAATCTGTTTGGAACGTCGGGCTAAAGGTTACTGGACAAGAGGCATCTTATCATATTTAAAGTAGCCTTCACTGAGACCGCCTCCGTGGTGTAGTGGTTAGAGCGTCCGCCCGGAGTGCGGAAGGTCGCGGGTTCGATCCCCGACCGCGTCATACCAAAAGACGTTAAAATATGGTACTTGTTGGTACGCTCGGCATTAATGGGTACGACAAGGACTGGTCGTCTCGGAGTCAGTATAATGTGTCTGAGAGGGGTATTCATGCTTCACTGCGGCATGGTATCACAGTGGGCTAGCACTATAAAACCAGCTTCAGTCTTGGCTAGTACAAGCAGCCGCACATACACATACACACGCATGCATGTCGTCATATGAGCGAAATATTCTCAAGCACGACGTTAAACCCAATTTCACCTCACCTCACATGCTTAAAAGCATCGTACCGTTGCCAATACATAACGATATCATGCTGACATTACATGAAGCACGAGATGCACGGACTTTCCGTGCTAACAAAACTCCTGTTCATTGACCTCATTTGCATATGATCAGATCGTAATCACAACTTATCGGTTTGGTGCATCCCTTCAATAACGCGATCCATAATATTATAAAGAGATGGGTTTTTATCCAAGCAAAATCAGGTTACATGCAAATGAACCAAGCATGGTTGTATTCAGAGACGAAATATCAGTTACATTTTCATTGTATAAGCAATAATTCTCGCAAACAGAGAAACAATCAATGGCAATATTCTAGGTTTTTAACACAGTAGGCCTTATAAGAAGGCTTAAATTGAGACTCCATAACACATCCGTGTCAAAGTATGTGATTACTGCTACAAAGTTGAGGCACAAAGTGTTAAAAGTGATGGACACAGAAATCACGAAATTGTAAGGGAGATAACAAGCATAGATAAAAGTTACAAATTGTTAGTGACTATAAAGAGATAACTTGTGTAAATCTTTTTGCATTGAATCTGTTTCGTGATTATGATAGTAAATTATTATTCATATATTTACTATTTATATTTATATGTCTTCTCCATAAAATCTGTATTCCTGTGACTGTTTATTCTCCATCTCTGATTATACGGGGAAGGAATGCTTGGATAACATAAACATGTGGGTGGGAGGTTTTCAGGTCGACCTCGTTGTCAGTAATGTCAATATGTTGTTGTTCTATTTGTTTTGGCGGACCCTTCATTCATTCACTCACTCACTCACTCACTCACTCACTCACTCACGCACTCATTCATTGGGGTAGTTTTATATACTATTCACACTTTGCTAAGGATCAAATCATTGATTCAACAGAAAACTATGATGTGGGGTCTAATTTGGTTTAAATATATCAGCTTATTGTAAGCATGGATCCTAGGTTTCAGTATGTCACTGCATCTTGTGGATACCATACTATGATTTGCGAAATGGTTGATTGGTGCCATGAAAACCAGTTTTATGGTTACTCATGTATCAAGTGCATAAGGTTAGATGAAAGTGGCTGTTCCAGTTTTATAAGGATACAATTTCAAATTATAAATCTATGTTTAAGTAAAGTTGGGATTTTTTGTGATCCTTAGCAAAGTTTGAGTAGTATATCTTTATGTTGAGGGTGGGGTGGAACATGGTGTCTTGTTTGAATAGGCGGTGCATTTTGCATTGGAGGCCATATTTGGTGACATGGATACGGTTCATTTCTTGCCTTCTATGTCAGGTTGGGAAGTGTTCACAGACGGGTCCCTTAACCTACGTTCTCCCATGCTGTACAGTACTATTCTATGTAGCTGCCCCTGTCCCCAAACTTGGTCAGTCCATAAGAATCTGGCCCTTTGAGAACTTGAACACCAGAGCCTGGTAAAGATTTCACACTGCCATGAATCAAACATTCTTTATGTCACAGAAGACCAGCTGTTGTAGGCTAAACACACCAGGCGGCTTAGCAGTACGATATATAGATATTTATATATATATAGCCTATGTATGTGCATAATTATATGTTAATAACACCGTGCCTAGCCCTTCGCATGACACCAACATTCAATCAGCGAGCGCCTTGGTACACAGAGTAACATACTATTTGTTAAATACAGCGTATATCCTCCAAAGTGAGCTTAGATATGCAATATACCCGATTTGCCTGTTATTAACTGATTACCAATATACCGACTTATTGAAGGATATGTTTTGATATTACTTGACATATAATCAATAGCAACATTGCTATGCCTCGGATTAACTAACACAACTACCTATCGACCGATATGTCATGCTAAAAAAAGTAATTGGTAAATGAAAACCACATCGGATATAGAAATAGAAAAAAATGACATGTGGGACAGTTTTAATCATATGCCTCGTTATTTTGTTTATAATTTGTTTTAAGCGCCGCAATCAAGACCTCGTTGTTGAATGCAATCCGCAAAGAAAATATTTCTTCAATGTGTTGGGGTTTATATCGTTTATTTCAATAAACAAAGGGCAAAAGTCCCTAGATATTCTAGTTTGCTGTTTGGATTTCATCTACATAGTACAATCAAACCTCGTTAATTCGGACACCGTTAATCCAATCCCTGTCTCCCGAAAGTGTTCTAGTGAAGACGCTCGCAAATATCCAAAGTGGCATTATCCATTATGCATAATTCGTGACAGGGGCATTTGTTAAACCGGACCAATTGAGTCGGAAAACTACCATCCAGATTAATGAGGTTTTGTTGTGAATGTAAATCTAAGATATCTGTATTACTACCAAATATGTTTTCCCAATCTGCAAAAAATATCTGAAAGTTATTGAAAATTTGCTTCTGATATACAATTGTATTATTCAAAGTAAGCTGAAAGTACTTTGAGTTTGTCAACCTATACCCGCCATCAGATCACCATACGTTTATTGATAATCACGGACACATTCTCAAGTCAAGAGACGGTTACCGTGTAGGGAGCAATGTGTCGTACAGTACGCCCTATTGAGCAAGTTGTCGCACTTGTAAGACGTAGATTCCTCGTATGTCGACAATGTCGCCTGGTTTGTAGGATTATAACTGTCCAGGCTTGAGACCTACATAGACTGACCTACATGTCAACAAGTTGTAGGTACTGCTATTATTCCTATAGAATTATTAATAATATAATGTGTGGTCTGGCAGCACACGGTCTTTATGCGGATCTGTCCGTAGGTCGCAATCAACGTCTGGCGGCACACGGACTTTATGCGGACCTGTCCGTAGGTCGCAATTAAGGTCTGGCGACACACGGTCTTTATGCAGATCTGTCTGTAGGTCGCAATCAACGTCTGGCGGAGCACGGTCAATTTTGAACAAATAGACGACCTTTGACCGGAGTTAACTTTGGATGACCAGTGTTAGGACATATAGCTTTACGAGCCGTGTGTGTGTGTGTGTTTGTTTGTGTGTGTGCTGTGTGTGTGTGCGTGTGTGTGTGTGTGTGTGTGTGTGTGTGTGTGTGTGTGTGTGTGTGTGTGTGTGTGTGTGTGTGTGTGTGTGTGTGTGTGTGTGTGTGTGTGTGTGTGTGTGTGTGTGTGTGTGTGTGTGTGTGTGTGTGTGTGTCGAAGACCCGGGTTCGAATCCCCACATGTGTGAAGCCCATTTCTGGTGTCCCCCGCCGTGATATTGCTGGAATATTGCTAAAAGCGGCGTAAAACCAAACTCAGTCAGTCAGCCAGCTTTACAAGGGTTATCTATTGCAACTGAATCCCAGGCGTGAGGTACCCCCGGTTAGCAGCCTCCACATGATGTCATAGTTCAAGCCAAGTGGTTATACAGATTGATTCAATCGTGAATGAAAGTATTT